CGCCTTCGCGAGTCTATCGGTTTGGTCGTTGCCCTCCCTCTCGAAAAGGCTGGTCCGTCATCTCGAACGCCAGCCCTGCAGGCGCGGGCCGCTACCCTGCAGAACTCCACCAGCCCAGGCTTTCCTTCTCGAAACGCCTCCTTCCACAAGCGGGCTCTGGTGTTGCCCCGGCCGCTGCGCATATCTCGCATCCCGATTGCACTGAGCCGTCCCTTTGCAATCGGAGTATATCGTATACCTGCCTACTAAATGCTTCGGGGCCATGAGCGCAGCATACTCTTCCCCGTCCCGAGCTACTTGGTCGGGGCCCAAATGCGGTGGGGCCGCTCCATGCCGCCCCGCTAGGGGTCGGAACTCATGATCATAGACTGCCACTCCCCTGCCAGCAACCCGAAAAGACGGAAACAAGCCCGTCGACCCGGGAGCCGTCGCAAAAGACATGGCCCCCAACCAAAGCCAGGGGCGGAGCAAGCCTTTCAACTTTGAGCTCCCACTCTCGGTTCCACCTGGGGCGGGAGAAGGCTTGGCACGGGCCAGACAGGGTCTTCTTAGAACAGCGCTCTTCCACATGCTCGGGCCCACTGCGCTGGCAACAGCGTCATGCTTGTTCAGCTTTGCCTGGCACCAATGCGAGCCAATGACTCGGCCACGGAGGACCCTTTGCTCCCGAATCCCCCACCGCCCGTCCGACACCCCAGCTTCCTCCTCGAGCGCGGCCTTCCACCTGCGGTGTAAAAAGGTTCATTGAGAGGTCGCCGCAAAATGTCACCTGACCATCCTTTGCCCTGGTCAACATTAGCCAAACTTTCGCGGTCGGAGAGACGCCTGGCTGCGATCTTCGCTCTCGTTGCCACCCTCGCTGGGGACACCTGAGACCTCGCCCGTGGCCTCACGCGAGGCCCACGGGTCGTCGAAAACGAGCCCAACCCGCACACGAGTGAGGAGAGGGGCTGCAATTGGGTCTCGCACACGCGCCCAAGGCCGAGACAGCAGGATCACCTCCTTGCCATGGTCAAAAGGCGACGGCAGCACCACAGGCGCCCAGCGCTGCTCTTTCAATATCTGGCTGTAGGGGCGGATGGCGCCAGCCGGAACGATGACCACCGGATCTCTGATCTAGCCTCCTCGAGCACGCGTGGGGGCCAATTCTGGGCGGCATCCTTCGGGCCCCCCCCCTGTCCGCCCTGAGCGCAGCCCGGCGAAGCCGCTTCAGCTTGCCAGCGGGGAGTCCCTGAATATTGGCTCCCCAAAGGGCTGTCGAGGGGATCCCAGCCCTAAAGATCGACCCACACTGGGCCCCTGCATTCCGCGGCGAGGGGACCTTGGCAACTTGTCGATGGACCTCGCAAGAAACGCGCGTGCTGTGTTCTGACCCCTCCGTCTAGCGCCACCCGTGGCGTCGCCTCCTAGACCCCTGTGGACCTGGGCTCTCGCCGACGGAGGCAAGCTGCGCAACCCGGCTACTTCGTCCGCCAGGGCTGTCGAGGGCGCCAGTAAGCCTAGCTTGTTTTCGGCAATGGGAAGCCCCAGTCGCTGCAGGCCGGCGGCCAGCGAACGAAATGGCGGACCAGCCCTCGAGTGATGACTTCTTCTCCTCCAACTGCATGCCGCGAGACGTCATCAATCACATTCTTGAGGCACGTCATGGGGTTCCGGGCCGCTGCCCCGCGGAGGGCACCGAGCAGGAGCGCGCGCGCGAAGGTGGTGACTCCAGAGCAGCCAGCAATGACTGCGATATTCGGCTGGACCTCTCGACCGACGGCGCCTTGCCAGGTCGCTCGCCGAGGCCCCCGACGCGGGCAACAGTAGGCCCGCCGCAAAGCCAGCGGCAAAGAAGTGGCACGAGCCGCTGCCAGCAACACTTCGTGCGAATTGTGCTCGTAAAACTTCCGCAGTTCACGTTGCCGTCTCCAGCACTGGGGTCGACCTAGCGCAGGCGTTCGGGGCATTGTGGACCCAAGCGCTCTTGCCACAAGCCGTGCTAGAGCTGAGCCACCAGAAAAAACTTGTCGTAAAACGTCCGTTCCCTTGCCGCGAACAGGCCATGGCGCATGCGGCCCCAAAATCTGGCCCAGGGGGGGGGCCCTATCGGCCTCCACCTCGAACGCTTCCACCATGGGCCAGGGGAGCTGCAGGAGGAGGCGAGGACTTAGCGCGTCCCAACCAAGGGCCGTCGAGGGATTAAAAGTGGCCGCGGTCGCCAGCACCTGGTCAGCCGCGATGGGCGGGAGGTCGTCAGTGACCGCCCAGCCACTGGGGTGGCCTTCCGGGGTTCCGGAGGGTTTGGTCCACATTGGGATCAGTCTTCTAAAATGCGAGCGCGTACCGCTTGTCCCACTAGCGGCCTTCGGAGAATGCAAACAGCGGCGGAGGAAAGGGCCCTTGGCATACCTTTGAGCCGCCCGTTCCGAACAGCTGGGCCCGTCCAGCCATCGAAAATGTTACCCTATAGTTGAAGACGCCATCAGCTTGCCCTCAACCCCCACCAGGAGGTCTTGCAACGGCAGTGCCGAGGCAAGCAGGTGCTTCCGCCTATCTGCAGTTTTGGTTTTCATGCACTGCAAGGTTAGGCAACGCAACGACTGCCATCGCTGGGTGGAGGGTTGGGAGCGCCTGTGCAACTCCTGCCCCACGACGCCTCGAGCGGCACCAATTGGACCTTGCACCCCTTGGCCCTGCCAAAACACTGGCGATCTTCAATGTCATGCAGGCGTCCAAGCGCCGCCTCGGCCGCAGTGAACCAGCGCTCCATCGCGACATGGGGCTTGACTGTCTCCCAGTCAAGCGGGGGCTCCCGCGGGCCTGGCTCACTCTCATGCGGGCTTTCTCTCCACCTCCTTGGGGTGGGGGAAAGCCTCGCGGAACCGCTCGCTGCCGCACTTTGGCCGGTCCAGCCACCTGCCGCAACTTCAGCGCAACAGCAGAGTGCGGCCCCACGGGCGTGCCAACTTGCTCTGCACAATCCTGGACGTGGTACTCCAGACACCGACTAACCACGAGAAAATCGTAGCAATTGCTCTGACAGGCGGCCCCTAGGGGTCTCACGACTGTGGCGCCGAGATGATCTGCCCATTGGGACTCTATCAGCTGCCCGGCGTCTGTGTTCCAATCAGCGCCTATGACAAAAGGGCAGCCAGCCGCGGCCATCGCTTCACTGAGCTCCTCTACCAAAGAGATGTTGACACCTGCCAACCTAGGGTCGCGCGTCCGTCGATCGATGCGACAAGGTCAGGAAAGGATTGATGCACCATCACCTTCATGCAGAGCCTTTCAGTCCACCGTCCAGGCACATACTCACAACTGCCAAAGTGCGTCTTGCCCAATATGGCGGCGCCCCCAGATGTCTCATGAGCCCCTGCGCCCGCTCTCGCAGCAGACGCAAACCATGTTATGCAGCCCGCCTTGTGGTACCACCTGCGGGCCGTCTGAATCTGCGGGGCTTCCAATCGATGCCCCTGCAATCACGCGGCACCATGCGTTGGTTTGCGAACCTCGCGGGCCGACTCCACGTATCCTTGAACCGTCGGCCACGAATTGCAGTTGTAGCTGGCCGCCTGTAGGTCCCATCTCGTAGCTGTCGGCGCGCGGAAGGGGCCCTCTAGCGCAAGGGCTTCGGCCACCCGCGCATCTGCGGCCCAGGGGCGAGGAAGGGTGCGATCGAGGGCCCCGGCCATCCTCATGTCTGCCGCCTCGATCCAGCACCCTGCCCCCACCTCCTTTAGGGTCTGCCCCGCCACGGGCCTCCCGGGGGCGAGAAAACCATGCCCAGCCGCGCCTTGGGGGCCGCGACGCCCTGGGGCATCGACCACCCGCCCGTCGGCAGCCCAGGGCGTCGGCTGGGCCTGATCGAGGGCGTCGACCACCCGCGCGCTTGCAGCCTCGATCCAAGGCCCGCTTCTCCCTTTCGAGGTCTGCCCGTCTGCGGTCTCCCTCAGGAGCTGTTGCGGCCCCGATTGCTGGCAAGGCGCATCTTGGGGAGGGCCGCTCTACCCTGGGACATCGACCGCCTGTGCGTCTGCGGCCCAGAGTGGGGGCTGGGTCTGATCGAGGGAATCGACCACCCGCGCGTCTGCGGCATCGATCCTAGACCGGCTGCCCTCCTTGAGGGTCTGCTCTGCATTGGGCTCCCTGGGGCCACCGGCCCCGAAAGCTCGGCCCGCCGTCGCCCCGCCAGCTGGTCCCTGAAAAAGACCAGTAAACGCCGCAGTTCGCCCCAGTGGCGTTTAGCCAAGGCCTTGCACACCTGGGCTGGCAGCGGCCTCATCACCTCGCGCAGGGCCCTGCGGTGACCCATGGCCTCCCGCCAGGCCTCTCGGCACGCCTCAGATGCCACTTGCTCGTGCTCCCCTGGGGCTTCCTGGCCGCGGCCCCATCGGGCGCGGCCGCTGTGCCTGCGCACCAGGGCTCTCCGAAAAAACAGTTGAGGTACTCCTCGCACCAGTGCTGCCAGGACGCACTGCCTGCCACGTCTCACTCTGTCAATCCCAGACCCAGCGCGCACTCCAATCGGTCACCGACTGGACAAACTCCCTGCTGCTCCTGTCGAGGTCCTCCTGCGGCAGGATCCCTAGCGGCGGTTTTCTTATCAGCTGGCGACCTGCCTCGTCTGGCCTAGAGGCGCTGCTGTTCACCTTCTGCCAGCTTGGCTCTGGCCGCCTCGACTGCTGTCCCCAGCTCCTGGCCACTAGGAGCGGGCCCAGAGGAAGAGGCTCCTGCAGCCCCAGGCGCTGCAGGATCAGCGATCAGCGCCAGGAGCGTCGGCAGGAGCCGCTGGCGGAGCCTCGGCCATCTTCGGGCCCTCGTCCTTGGCCGCGAGGCGCTTGCGCATGTCGCGGGCCTCGGTCCCGAGCCGCTGGGCGTTGCCGGTGCTAGGGCCGATGGCCGACAGCATCGCCTTCTGGATGTCGACCGCGATGCTGCCCTTGAGAGCGAGCCGCTTCCGCTTGTCGTCACGTCCATATCATAAAAGGCCCCTGAGGTCCAGCAGTGTCGCCGTCCACGATCTCCACCGTTCCGCAGCCGCTCTCATCACCCAGCAGCTGCGACAGAGTGATCTGGGACCCGGTCGTGATGTCCGAGGCTGGCCTCGGCGACGGCGAGCCAGGCGACGATCCGCGGGTCTCCCGCTGCTGCTACTCCGCCTTGAGCTCCGCCTGCCACTCGGACTTGGTCCGCACCGCCAGGACCGCCGCCTCGCGCGTCTTCTGACTGCACTCCGCCAGCCAGAGCTTCGCCTCGTCTTCCCTCGCGACAGCCTGCTCCATGGCCTTCTCGGCGCGCCTGCAGGCCACTCCGTTAGTGCTGATGGTTTCCCCCAGCAGCGGCGCCCGCGCAAGCTGCGCAGTCTCGGGCGGCGCCACCGCCCGCAGCAAGGCTTGCAGCTCCTGCGCGCCCGCGGCCTGGCCCACGTGCTGCTGGTGCTGGGCGAGGAGCTCAGCGACCGTCTGCTTGCCTGCGCAACGCTGCGGGGGCGCCGACGCCTTGGGCACCTCCATGCGGCTGGGCGCCCGGGAACCTGGCGGTCGGGCTGGCGCCTGCTGACCTCCTCCCGTGCCCGTGCCAGACGCCCGCACCCCCTTGGTCTGCTGCTGTGGCGGCGTTCGCGGCGACGGCACCAGCGCCCGCCCGCGTGAGAAACACTGCGTGCGCGTCGTCCAGTTCCAGCGATAGCGACAGCACGAGCACGAGAGGTAGCCTTTGGCTGCGTCCTTGCCCATGGACTTTACCAGGAGCTCACAGAAAGAGAAGACGTGCCAAAAGGCGGCGGCTACAACCTCTGAGTGGCCCGACGACCACGTGTGCACGCAAACTTGGACGCTGGTCCAGGGATCGCTGGCGGGGGCGCACTTCCCCGTTGCCACTCCCAAGTTATTGAGCTTCCCGCTATGGGTTTGAGCGAACATGGCTACAGAAGGAGGAGAAGGAGGAGGAGGAGGAGGAGGAGGAGGCGGAGGCGGAGGAGGAGGGGGAGTTGGAGGGGGAGGTGGGCGGTGGGAGGGGAGGAGGAGAATTAGAAGAAGGAGAGGGAGGAGGAGGAGGAGGCGGAGGAGGAGCAGGAGGAAGAGGAGGAGGAGGAGGAGAGGGAGGGGAAGGAGAATGAGGAGGAGGAGGAGGGGGAGATGGAGGGGGAGTCGCCATGTGCTGGGACTCTTCCCCCCCGCGCCCGGGAGGGGGGGCCGCCAGACCCCCGCCCGCAGCGGCGACCAGCGCGGCGCCAGGGTTGCGCGCCATGGCGGGTTGGATGTCCGCGAAGAAGCGCGAGGCCAACGGGTACGAGCATACCAGCCATGTGCCGAGACTTACTGGCCCCATAAGTGAAATGGGGCCGAGGACGCCAACGCCGACATCGCGGACCTCTCACGTCACCTGCGAGGTGCCGCATCGCAGTCCGCGGCACGAAAAGGGCACGCCGTCTCCGCCAAACAACATTGCCATACTCTTGGCCAATTGCAGAGCCAGGCCCCAGCAAGACGCCGCCGCTGCAAGGGCAGACGCCAGCACTAACACCGACCACATGATGAACCCATCTGCGGCCACCTTCATCCCAGAGGATACCAACGACAGTTATGACTACCTGGAGGCAGGTGCGGCCCGACCTACGGTATCTGACCCCGACATCGCACGTGTCAAACAGGCCATCGACAACGCCATGTCGCAGGCCACACTACGCCGACGTACGACACCGCCGACGACCGTCCCGACCGCCCCCGCCGCCCCTCCCGCCGTCTTCGACGCTGCGCCAAGCGACGCCTCCGCCGACACCCCACTCGACGACTTTCCCGACGCATTACTTGACGCCCAGCCCCGCGCCCTTCCCGAGGCCCACCCCGACGACACATCGCACGCTTCACCAATTACCCACCCCGACGCCCTTCCTTACCCGTCACAACGTGCCCAACCCGACGCCCCTCCCGACGACGCACCAGACCCCGAACGTAACGAGCACACGACGCCCAATTCGACCTCCAGGCGGCGGACTGTCTTTGTCACGGGCATCTGGCCAGGCATCGACAATGCAGCTTTGCATGCGACCTTCAGCCCCTTCGGCAGGATCCTGAAATCTCACATTGTTGCCGACGGCGACGGCATACCACGGCTACGTCCTTCTCGAGACCGAGGAGGGGGCCAGGAAGGCCATCCGCCGCACTGCGGGCATATTGTGCGACAGTCGCACGTTGTGGGGCTCCCGTCGACGCCCCCGCCGACGCCCCCCCCGACACCTCCGCCGCCCCCCCGCGACTCCCACCGCGACGCCGCGACGATGCTTGCGACGACGATGCGACCCTCCAGACGGCCTCCTACCTTATCCGCCACACCCCAAGTCCACGGCGCGTCCTACCAGGGCCCCGAGGTCACGGATGTCCCAGGCAAGGACGTCGATTTCGAGGCCTCCAACGACATCGATTTCACGAAGCACCTCACCTTCGAGTTCGCGACCTCCCAGGACTCCAATTTCATGGCTGGCACACAAGGACATCCATTTGGCGGACCTCCAGGATTCCACTGCCACGGTCTCAAAAAAAACAATGTCGCAGACCACGGAACCAGAGTCTAACTACCAGAACATGCACTTCATGGCTACAAGGGGCATGCCCGGGGAAGCGGCCATAGGGGCCGCGCGCTACTACCTGCTCACCACGCCGTGGCCCCCAACCACCCCGCGCGAAACCCGACAGCCTCCTTGACCCCCCACCCGACCGCCCCAACGACGGCAGCGCCCCGAGTGGCCGCATACCATGCGAGGGAGCCCGTGGGGGGGCATACCTGGGATAGCGGCCACAGGGGCCGCTGGATAGCCCACGGTGGACGCCGCCGACCCCGCGGCCGGCTCGAGATCCCGAGTGGCCGCGTGCCTTGAGAGGGAGCCCGCTGGGGGCATATCCGGGGAAGCGGTCTTAGGGACAGCCGAAGTCACCCCAAGGAGCCCCACGCCTGCCCCCCCGACTTCCCCACGACCCGAAGGCCCCCTCGACGACCCCGCGGCTTCCGCGACTGACCCCACGACCCCCCTGCCGCGCCCCGAGTGGCCGCATGCCCCGCGAGGGAGCCTGCGGGGGGCGCACCCGCGGAAGCGGCCATAGGGGCCGCTGGACAGCCCGCGGCGGGCGCCGCCGCCCCCGCGGCTGGCGCGAGATCCTGAATGGCCGCGTGCCCTGAGAGGGAGCCTGCGGGGGGCATACCCGGGGAAGCGGTCATGGGGACAGCCGAGGCCCCAAGGAGCCCCGCGACTGCCCTCCCCCGGCTTCCCCCCCACGACCAGAAGGCCCCCTCGACGACCCCGCGGTTCCGCGACGGACCCCACGACCCCCTTGCCGCGCCCCGAGTGGCCGCATGCCTCGCGAGGGAGTCCGTTTGGGGCATACCTGGGGTAGTGGCCATAGAGGCCGCCAGACAGCCCGCGGCGGGCGCCGCCGCCCCCGCGGCCGGCGCGAGATCCTGAATGGCCGCGTGCCCTGAGAGGGAGCCCGCGTGTGGCATGCCCAGGGAAGCGGTCATAGGGAAAGGTGATGCCACCCCCATCACCCGAACGCCCCCTCGACTACTCCGCGGCCCACGCGACAGACCCCACAAGCCTCCATCTGAACCCCGAGTGGCCGCGTGCCCTGCGAGGGAGCCCGCGGGAACCGCCGGGGCCACCCACGACGACGACGCCGATCGCCCCGACGACGACCCTTACGACGCCCCGACCGACGCCCTTACCGACGCCCAACCCGACGCCCCCGCCCCCGCCAACCCGACACAGGCGACGCCAGCGCTACACCTCGAACCAGACACAAGACGACCCTGGCTCCCGAGCCTTGCCGAGCTACTGGCGACACCACCACGCAACGCACCTTCTTGGGTGCAACACCCTTCCGACCTCTGGGGCCCTCGGTCCTCACCGACTGGCGCCGCCCCTGAGGCAACGGGACCCGCCGACGGCGGCACTCGACCACAGCCGCGTCGCCCCCCCCCCCCCTAATCCTCTTCGGCTACGCACTCACGACGCTGGCGGCGACACACGTCAGAGGCCTTTGGCCCCCGCCTCCGCTGCGGGCGCAGGGCTTGCGGCCACCCTTGCCCGCGTCCCCGAGCAGAGACCTGGCCCCCCCCCCTCACAAAGCCCCGACGCCCTTCCCACCCACCTCTACGACCACCACGCACCCTCCCCTACGACCATTTACTCTGCGTTCAAGTACCATTCTACTGAGCCCGACTGTGGCGACAACTACCTCTGAGGTCTAGACAGGTCAGGACAGAGGGGGGGGGATGCGGTTAGATGTTAGGGGATGCTTCGGGGAGGACGACCACATTTTTTATCCCCCCGAGGCCGCTGGCGGGGGCCTCGGGGCCTGATGGGTGGCAGCAGGATGAACCTTCGAGTGCCGTGAGCGAGCGAGCGAGCGAGCGAGAGGGAGGGGGAGGGGACAAGCGAGGCCGCCGGGTCCGGCGACGGGGGGCGGAGTCGGACGTGCGCCCCAAGGGGGGGGGGGCGGGGGGGCAGACAGCACCAGCACCCGCAGAGGCTGCTTCGAGGGTCGGCGCTTCCAGGGCAAGGGTAGGGTGAAGTCGGGCACGTCCCTCTACAGGAGGAGAATTGCAGAAATAGTCGAAGAAGAGTCCGGGGACGATGCTGCTGATCACGTTGTTGCCCATGTTGGAACACGTTTCGAGTGTTCCTTAGTTTTCGTCCCAAATCCGCCTGTCCGAGGACACGTTAGCCCTAAGGGTAGGGGAACGAAAGATGACATAAACATAACAACTCTGGGATCCGCGCGGGTTTCTCGGATCCGCACTGGGCCCCCCTTCCCAAAACGCGCGGAGCGCGCCAGGGGCGGCGCCAGGGGCGCCACCAGGGGGATCCAGCGCCGATGCGAGAAATCCGCGCGGACCTCAGAGTTGCCCTGAGGGGTGCCCTCGTGTCCTCTGTTTCGCAGCCCGTGCCCTCTGCGCCCCCATTGCGACGTGGCCCTCGGATGGGGTACCGTGTCCTCTCCGCGTGTCCTCACCAATCGGCCTCGACTGTGTGTCTTTCGGCGCCCCCCGGCCGTGGCCGACAGGCGAGTGCTCTCGCGGAGCCCTTTCGGGGCTCCAGGGATCGGGGGGTCAGAGCAACCATTGCATTGGGCGTGTCCTATTATAGGAGGAATGTCCAATAATAGTTAAACAAACATCCGCGAACTATTTTTATGATTTCGTTTAGCCAGAATGCCCGGTCTTGCAGGATCCTGCAGAGCAAAGGTATATTTGCCCCGGCTTGCCTGCAGGATCTACCAGGGTCCTGAAGGATCTTGCAGGATCCTGGAAAGCCTTATTGACCTTGGTTTGCATTGCTCGGGTCATTAGATCCCCGAGCAAGGATGAGCAATTTTCCATTGTTACCCTTGCATCCTTGCCCTTTCGGCCCATCCCTTCGGCCCATCCCCATTCGAACAACTTCCAAATGGCTTCCCAAGGCCCTTGCATCCGTATACCGCGCATCCTTGAAATATGTGTAGGCTGTATTTCTCCGACTCTTGCGAACGTCTCCCCGACTCTGGCTCCTAATTACCTTCACGGATGCAGATCGTGCAGCCTCGGCACAATGTTGTTGCCGATATTTACACGGAAGGCGACAGCGGCTCCATGTCCAATTCATAACGCGTCTCGTTCTTGAGGGCCCCGGACGCGAGTTTGCCTTGTCTCGCCCCCCCACCCTCCACCCTTGCGACCGCACAAGGAAGAGGCTTCCTGAGGTTCTCGTGGGTTCTCGGAGGCTTCCCCGCCTCTGGATGCTTCGCAGCGGCTGCGCCCCGTCGAGGGCGTTCTGGGAGTGCCCAGATCGTCCCGAGCGGCCGCTGGAGGCCCGAGTTGTGGCCCGAAACCGGGGCGGGGGTCTTTCAGGAGGAAAGGAAACACACAGACACAATTAATCGTCGATTTTCCAGAAAATATGGGAAAATATGGGAAGTGGGGGGGGAAGACAGAAACCCAGACAATATAAGTAAATATGGGGAATCCTTTTTTTTGTGTGTATGTATTTGTGTGTCCCAGGGCCTCTTCAGTCGTGGGAGGCTCAGGGGGAGAAAACCACCAGGCCTCCAAGATGGGGTCCAAGCAGGTGTGGCCGGAGGACAGCGCCGCGACGCCGACGGCGCCGATACATCGCCGACGTCGCCGATGCATCGGCGATTCATTGGCGATGAAGCGCGATCCTCCGACCCTACCTGCTCGGACCCCATGTGGGATGACCTTCAGGATCCCACACCTCTGGCAGAGTGTCAGTGTTTTCTTTTGGGGGGGTAGGAATGCCCCGCGCCAGTGTCAAATGGGCCAGCGAGTAGTTGTATGAATGCTGACGGGCGTTTGGTTGTGCTAACTGTTCGGGCAAAGACATGCATTGTGTAGGGTCGTGTCGTGATTCGTACATGGTAGCATGTATCCTTGCACTCGTATATCCTTGATGTGTATCCTTGGCTTCTCGCAGGTTGACTTGGAAGGCGCCTGTGAAGCCTCGTTGGCTTGCTGTACGTGCCACGTGATCCTTCCGCAGGACCATCTCATTGATGCTTTGTTTGTCGGTCTATCCCCTACTGTCCGTCCCCAATGTGCGTAGCATCGCTGTAGCGTGGAGCGGGCCAGCGCTGTATGCCTGATCCGTCGCTCTTTGGGGCCGCAATGGGTGCCTCTTCGAGGGCATGTGCTCGTCGTTGGGCCGCCTAGTCCTTGGCCGCGTGGCGGAGGGTCTTGGGGCTATCTCAGATCGTCTTGGGGCTTCCTGAGGGGGAGATGGTGGGGGGTTCCCTCAGTCTTCCTCCTAGGGGGGCCGCGCTGGCCACGAGTTCCATGGGCCACCACTAGATTTTCAACCAGTGTTGGAGCAGGTCGAGCCGCCGTCGGAAGGGGGGGGGCATGATACTTCCAGGATAACGAGGACGCCGACGGTGCATCAACGACCGCTTCACAGGAGCACGACGCACGTGTCGGCGAAGAGTTGCCTTGGAGGACGTGGGTGACCATGACACTGAGGCCGATGAAGAGGAGGGTGGGATTCAGGAGGAATAGGAGGAGCATGCCAGCGAAGTATCGTTGGGCTTGCCGTCGGATCGGTGGAAGGCTTCTTCGAAGTATCCAGCGGCTGCTGGCGATGCCGACAGCTCGGCTGAGGTCGTGGACGGAGGCCTCCTTGGGATGGTTCCTGCGGGCTCTTGGGAGGTCGTTCGGGAGTTCTCCAGAGGGGTTGTGTGGGCCTTTCTGGGGCCTCTTGGGGAGCCCCATGAGGGGTGTCTCGTGGGCCCCTCGTGGCCTGTGAAGGGTCTGGGCGGCAACATCTCGAAGACAGGCTCGCAATGCCCCTTCGTGTATCATCGTGGGCTCCTCTTCGGGCTATCCTGGGTCCCTCTTGGGGGGCAAGGTGAGTAGGAGAAGTAGGATGAGTCTGAGGATGATGACGCAGACAATGTGGAAGAGGAAGAGGAGGACAAGGAAGAGGAGGAGGAAGAGGGGGAGGATTTGGAGGAGGAGGAGGAAGAGGAGGAGGAGGGTGACCATGTTGCTGAAGCTGATACACAGGGAGAGGATATTGAGGAGGAGGAGCATGCCAGCAAAGTCTACCTCGCTGAGATCGCTTGAAGGCGTCTTCGATATATCCAGTGGCTGTCGGCGAAGCCCACCACCGTGGTGGGACGTGGACGACAGCCTCTTCGGAATACCTGCAGGAGGATGTATGAAGGGCGTCGCCCTCTGCCGCTGGTCCTCCTTCCTTTCCGATTGCCCGCGTGCCTGTGTCGATATTGTTACCGGTTCTTCTTGGTTGATTGGCTGATCGGTCGGCAGGCTGGCATCTCGGCCGGCTGGTGTGGTTTCTGGGTGACCGGTTGGAGGGTTGGCTGGCTGGGTGGTTGTCCGAAGGGCTGGTTCGCAGGCTTGCTGGCAGGTCGGACGCCGGCCAGGTGCCTGGCGTTTTTCGGAGTTCGGAGCGCGGCCTCACCGACTTTTTTTACGCGGGGCCGTCGCCTCGCGGGCGCGGGCCCAGAGTTCTTTGTGCATGGGATCGTGGCCTCGGAAGCGCGGATTCAGAGTTTTTCCTCTCATGGATCGTTGTTTCGGGAGCGCAAAAAGCTGGCAGATCGTGCCGTCGGAATCGCGGACCAGTTACTCATTCTGCTAAAACATGGGGTCGTGGTGTGGGGAGAGGGGGTCCTGGGGACTACGAAGAAGCGCAGCGATGGCTCGCAGTTTTTGACGGATCGTGGAGTCGGGAGCGCGGACCGCGCGTCTTCATGACAGAAAGATTCGGGGCCGCGGAGGCGCGCTTCGACAGTTTTGTGCGAAGGAACGTGGCTTCGGGAGTGCGGGACAATGGTATCCATCGGTCGATGAAAGATTTTTTCGGATTTCCGGATTCCAGGATGCTTTGGGCGTCTTCCTAATCCAAGATAATCGAGCGTTTATCCTCTTCAGGGGGCGGGCGGAAGCCCGATCTACTTTCAACGCCTTTCTGCTTCTCGGCGGCGAGTCCGGGGGGGTAGTGAGAAGGGGCGGGCCTTCTCATATGGCCTAGGATTTCCTCAGCCTTCTGAGCAGTTTTCTGAGCAGTCCCCAAAGACACAGGCACCCCTCAGAAGGCCACTGCCTTCTGAGAAGGCGTTCTCCTGCTCATTTTCCCTCCTCCCTCGTGTCCGATATACATATATAGAGAGAGAGAGAGAGAGACAAAAAAAAAAAACAAGAGAGAGAGAGAGAGATGCAGGGGTCGGCGCCGCTTGAGCAGCAGCCTCCTGGCCCAGAGAAGCCTTCCCCCCCCCTTCCCCCCGGCCCCTCGCGGTGCGCGCCGCCAAGGCGCGGGGGGGGCCACAGTCAACCACGATAGGAAGGATGGGATGGGGCCTTTTTCCAGGGCTACCCTCGCATCCTTGCCCCCTCGGTATTCGGCATCCTTCGGCATTCTGCCGCGCTCCGCACGGAGAACGTCAACATGGCGGTCCAAGGCCTCTGCCCCCTCTCTTCGCGCATCCTTGCTCACCATCCTGGTCGAGTGCACGGCATCCCGGCGCCGGGATGCTTCTGCGCCGAGCCTCGCGCTCTCTCCTCCGCCCCCCAGCCATCCGCGGGGCCGAGCTCGGTCACGAGCGCTTCGTGTCGGCGCGGCGGCGCGCGCCCTTCGGGCCCGTGGCGCAGGAGGAGGAGGAGAAGGAGGAGGAGGAGGAGGACGAGGAGGAGGAGAGGGAGGGGGAGGAGGAGGAGGAGGAGGGGGAGGGGGGGGGAGGGGGAGGAGAAGGAGGCCGCAGTGCCCCTCTCTCGGGCCGCACGAAAGGGGGGATGGGGAAAGGGGGAGGTACGAAATCTGCTGCATGCAGCTGGTTTCGGCCCTGCCGCCGGGCCCATTCCTCGATACACGGGCGCCTCCTGGCGTCGCGAGGCGCCGGGAACATCAGCTACGTGAGCTGATTTTCACCCCCCCCTTTGCTATCCCCCCCTTGCGCACGGCCTGATTCTCCAGGACGTCTTCGACAGCGTCGAGGAGGCCTGCGAGAAGGAGGAGGACGGGGAGCGCCGGCCTGTCCCCTCTTTCGCTCTGGGGGTCGAGCGCGGGCGATGCAACAAGGATCTGCAGGTGCGAGGACCTGCTCGATCCCGTGCCAGTGGAGAAGATCTCAGGGGCGCGGGGGCTGATGAAGGAAGGGGGAGGGGAGCGGGAGGAGCGCGGCGGGAGCGGGGAGCAGGGGCAGGGGATCGGAGGAAGGGGAGATGGCGGACGATTCGAGCTGGGAGGGTCCCGATAATTACCTGTGCATGGAACGCCCTGGAGCAGGATGCTGGTCAGGCACTGACAGCTGCAGTGGGTGCTGCGGCCCCGCCCCGCAGCACCTGCGGGGTGCGCATTGCGGGTCGCAGTCGCAGTCGCAGTCTTGGGCGGGCCTCGCCGCCACGGTTGGACTCTCCCCGGAGCTGTGGCCAGAGCCCCAACCGGCCTCAACAGGCCCACCGAGTAGCTCTGGCTGGCCTCGACAGGCCCCCCGGGTAGTCTTAAGTCGGGCCTGTCCCTCTACAGGAGGAGTTTTCAAAGATAGTTAAAGAATAGTCTGGGGACGTTTTTTCAATATTTTTGAAGATTTAGATCTATTTTTGGTGGTATTTGGGATTTGTCGTCCAACATCCGCCTGCAGGGGGACACGTCCGACCTGAGAGTAGTCCCAGGTGGTCCCGACAGGCCCCCAAGGAGTTCGAGGGAGCCTCAACAGGCCCCCTCCGAGTAGTCCGGGGCGGCCTCAGCACCTCACCCCTGGGGCGCGGAGCGCCCCAGCGGCGCCGCTGGAGGTGGCGCCGGGGTGTCGAGACCGTCACGGACTGCTCGAGGGGGCCTGTTGAAACCAGTCGGGACTCTTCGGGGCTTCACCATGTGGGTGTCACAGTTGGGCCTAAGATTGAAGTGCCAAGAGCACGACCGTTGGAACCTATAATAGTCTTCTCGGCTCCGACCGACGAAGACGAAGGCGACGACGACGACGAAAATGACGACGACGACGGCGGCGACAGCGACGGCGGCGACGGCGACAGCGGCGACAGCGGCGACAGCGGCGACAGCGGCGACGACGGCGGCGGCGACGGCGACGGCGACGGCCTCGGCGGCGTCCGCGGCGGCGGTAACGGCGACGACGACGGCCTTGGCGGCGGTAGCGCCGACGGCGACGGCGACGACGATGGCCTCGGCGGCGGTAATGGCGACGGCGGCGGTAACGGTGACGCCGACGCCGACGGCGACGGCGACGGCGACGGCGACGGCGACAGCCTCGGCGACGGTAACGGCGACGACGACGACGACGGCGGCGACGACGACGAGAGCCACTATGAGAGCGACGACTACAACGACGACAATGAGAGCCTGTCTCGTAGTCGGCGCAGAGGACATGCTGGACATGGCGCCGTGCCTGACGGCCACCTCGCGTCTTGGATGCCAGGCTTCCATGCTCGCCCCCCGCCCTGGTGGTCGTCTGCCCTTCTGGCCTCGCCCTTCTCTTGGAGCATGAGGGGTGCCTGAGGTGGCCCGGCACATGGTCCTGGCGAGCAGGACGGGGGGGCCAGGCTCGAGGTTTTGCGTTTCGAGAGTGCGTTCTTCCGTGTCCAGGGGCCACTTTCGGGCCTGGGATCGCCCACAACGCATCTGGGGTGAAACACTGCACTGGATGGACTTTCGGAGGGGTCCAGGGGCAGGTTTTATGTCGACTTGCCCAGGCCTTGACCGCTGTTCTCGGGGCCTCTCCGGCGCAGACCCCCCTGGCCGCCTCCGACGCCCTTCCCTCTCGCCCGCAGTCCCCCCTCTCCGCCACATACCGTCCTCCCAGGATGGCCGCAGCTTGATCGGGGAGAGACGATCCGGTTCGCGCTGGCTCGCGTCTGCGACGTGTGGAAACTGGCCGCTCCCGCCCGCTTCGTGGCGCGGTGTTGGGCGAGGCCGCCTCGGGGTTGGAGCGCTGCCCAGTCCGTGGTGCCACCCGTGGCGGTCATGCCACCCGTGGCCGTGCTCGCCCTCCGTCCCCCCTCCTTCACCCCGCCCTCCGTTCCCTTGGCAATGAGAGGCAGGACAGGCCCGGTGAAGTACGGCCGGACCGAGGTACAAGACCGAGGTCGGTTCGGGAGGGACCTTGGGTGTCTTCGTGTTGGTGGGATGCTCTTGTGCATCCTGGGGAGGGTGCCCTTGGGTGTTCTGGCGGTTTTGGCCGGCGGAGGATCTCATGCTCTTGAAGGATGTTCTCCTGGCTTAGGTCCGACTCTCCATCGGTCGTTGAACATGGTTATTCTGGAGTCCCAGACTCCAAGCTACTCTGAGCGCCTTCCTGCTTCAATGATCGAGTGGCTTCACCGTTTCCGTCCTCTTCAGGGGGCGCGCGGAAGCCCAATCTAGCTTCACCGCCTTCCTACTTCATGTTCCTACGGCAGGTTCGCGTCGTGCCGAATGGCGGCGACCCCACCGCGTGCGCTTAATGTTACACGCCGCCCGTGGCCCAGAATCGGCCCGTCGTTGAACGATCTGGCGTTAGTGTAACGGCCGATCGTTCAAGTTTGAACGATCCCCGCGGTGTCAGGAACCAACGCCATGGTCGACACGACGCAATACAGTCAGCCCGCATAGTAAGGATGAGCGACTTTCCAAGGTTGCCCTTGCATCCTTCCCCTTCGGCCCGTCCTCGGCCGCGTTCGCTTGCCGCGCCCCGCTCGCAGAGTGTCGACATGGCCTTCCGAGGCCCTTGCATCCGTATCGCGCGTCCTTCTTATCCGGGTTGACTGTACCTGCTTTTTCCGACCGATGGGTCTGCCTCGGGGTGCGGCCCCACGGTTAAGTCGGGCCTGTCCCTCTACAGGGGGGGGATATTCATGGGAAAACATGCTCCTAAATTGTCAAAAAATAGTCGGGGGACTATTTTTTGACAATGTTGGAGCATGTTTTGGGCATTTTTTTGCTTATTTTCGATTGCTCGTCGAACATCCCCCTGCAGGGGGACACGCCCGACTTACGCTTGCCTGTTCCGACCGATGGGTCTGCCTCGGAGTGCGGCCACACGCCCTCCTCCTCCTCCTCCTCCTCCTCCCTCCTCCTCCTCCTCCCTCCTCCTCCCCCTCCTCCTCCCCCTTCCCCCTCCTCCTCCTCCTCCTCCTCCTCCTCCTCCTCCTCCTCCTCCTCCCCCTCCACCTCCTCCTCCTCCTCCTCTCCTCCTCCTCCTCCTCCTCCTCCTCCTCCTCCTCTTCCCTTCTCCCCCTCCTCCCCCTCCTCCCCCACTGACCGCGCAGCCGCCCGCCCCCCCCCCCCCCCCCCGGGGTCTGCCCAGGCCAGGGGCAGCCTCGGCGAGGCTCCGGGCCTGGCGGCGAGTGCCGCTGCGTCGGCGGACTGCTGGGCACGTCATCCCTGAGGTGGGGCGTGCCCCCCTACGGTTCTGATGTTTCCACCTACTTTCGGGGGAGCGTAAGACCCGTGTTTGCCAGGACTCGGGTTCGCCATCGTTTTTTTGACGACCGCGACTCGGATTTTGACGAGTAGGAGTTTCGTGGGATGTCTGCAGCGGGAGGCCTCGTCAAAATGCAGGCTCGGCCTCGTCATTTTTTTGACGACCTCGTCGGGGATTTCCGAGTCCCCTGTACCCGGGTCTTACGCCCCCCTGGTACTTTAGCGCCTTGATCACGACCAAGAATTTCGAGCCCCCCAGAAAAGTTCCCGGACTCGAGGGTTTGCACGTGTCGTGCCCTGGGAGACACTCGCCCGACACTGGTTCGACACTCTTTTGACACTTTTCCGTGTGCTCGAAATTAGTTATGGAATGCGATCTTTAAGTAGGATGGGAACAACATAGCTCTACAGGCGGATCTTGGGCGAAAAGTATCAATGAGCCAGAACATTCAAGCCTGATCAAGAAGAGTCCAAGCATCTTCCCCATTATATGTTCGACAATATTTGAATATTGGTCTTTAGATTTAAGTCGGCCTCTCCTTCTACAGGGTGGATATTCCCAAATAACAAAAAAAGCCAGGGAAGGTTCTGGGACTTTTCTTCATCATTTTTGGAATCTGTTTGCGTAGTTTTTCATTCTTCGCCCAAAATACCCCTCTAGGGGGACACGCCCGACCTAATTCCAGAGGGACAGGCCCGACTTCAGTTTTCCCAGGTCGGCATCGCTCCCCGTGTGCAGGCCCTGGGCATGACTCGAACGTGACGTGTGTGCTTTTTTTCACGGCGAGGGCTGCCGAGGAGCACTTTTTGGACGGTCTTGCGCAGCAGGTAGCGCACAGGCCCGAGAAACACACAACGGGAGTGACCGTGCGATCGATGGCACGGGCTCCGACGCGGCGCACACACGACCTTTCGTTGTACCGCGCGGCCGCCATCGCTCGGAGGAGGAAAAGGTACCCATACCTCTACCCCCATCGCCCGTTGTCCCCTTTTTGGGCCTCCTGGGGCTCCGTCGTCGCCACCGCTGGATTCACCACGAAATCCTAGTCAGAACGCACCCCGGGAGAGGCCCGGGGGGTAGCGGTATCGGTACTTCTTGGTTTCCCCACGACACGGCGCACACACGACTTGTCTTTCACCGCGCGGCCGCAATCGCGCCATGCCGCGGGGGGGCGACAAGAGGGTCGGCATGGGTCAGGGCGAGGGCCCCCCTTTGGGCGACCACCTCGCGCAAGGCGCGGGCGCGCGATCGACGCATCGGGGAGGCGTGCCGCTGGGTTTTCTCGGACGCGGCATGGCCTGCGATTCGACCGAAGGGGCATGAGCGTCTTGACCGAAGGGGCAGCCGTCGAGGCCAGCCGCGCAGACAACGAGGATTATGATGTTCCAACCTGCTTTAGCCTTGATCACCAGAAAGAACTTCGAGCACCAGAACAGTACCGAAACTCGAGCATTTCCACGTCTCGGGCCCTGGGGGACACTCGCCCGACACTGTTTCGACACTCCTTCGACACTTTCCCGGGTGCTCGAAGCTATTTCTGGGATGTGGCCTTCAGGTACGATGCGAGCCACATACGCCGAGGACAATGGGCGGCCTCCTGCTGCGCTGGCGTCGTGCTCTCCGGGTTGCCGACCCTGGGCGGCCGGCCATTGATCGGGATGCCTCGGGAAGGGCTCCTCTCCCAGGGGGTCGTCGGCGGGCTTGGCGGCGCGCAGGCGTGCAAGTGGAGTCCAGACGCTAAGATCAAATCGGGCCTGTCCCTCTACAGGAGGGATGTTCAAAAGTAGTCCAAGAATTGTCTGGGGACGATGTTTTGACTATTTTTGCCCATTTGGGGGGTATGATTTGAGTATTTTTGATGTTTCGTAAAAAAAAAAAAACCTGTAGGGGGACACGTTCGACTTACCGCTAACATCAGGGCTCAGGAGGGGCTCTTGCTTTCGGCCCTTTCCTCCGAGGAGGAACAGGTGCCGATACCGCAACCCTTGCCCCATTCCATTTTTTGTTGCCTCATGAGAGGCCCTCGTCGCCACGGCCGGATTCGCTCCGAAATCTTGGTCGGAGCGCACCCTGGAAGAGGTACATGTGGAGTGGCCTGTGCATGTTGGTTTCCCCATGGGAACCTGTTCGCGGCCAAGGCTCGCACGGGGCAGAACGTCCCCTTCGCTCCTCCTTCGTCGGCGTTCCTCGAGGCAGCCTGGCGACGGCGGTGCTCGCGCGGAGAAGTGTTCGGCGGACACATCGACGAGCCGGAGCGTTAGTTCGGCCTGGGTGTTTTCCGGTGGAAGTGGCAGCGGTCCGCGCCCGGGTGGGGGTGCGCAGGCTCGCCATGGCCGAGCGCGCGGCGTGCGACCCCTCCCGGTCTGGCAGAGAGTGTTTGCAGGGTAGAAGAGTGCAGGACACATCGGTTCTCGTTTGGTGTTTGTGATCCTCCGCGCATTCTACCACCGTGAGTGCGTTTCGCGGCGAAGTCCTGCGAATTCCTGTCACGCGTCGCTCTCGGTCGCTCTCGCCGCCGCTCGCGGTGCCACGTGCCTCGTCGTTCTTTGTGGTCCTCCTCGTCCCCCTCCCCCAGACAGCACAGTCTGCCCGGGTCCAGCGTGGCGGCATGGAGGGCTTCGGCAGGAGGGCCTGCAGCGATCTTGTGGGAGCTCAGGGCTCCTGGGTCGCTTTTGACCATTTCGATGGGCCTGTTCTCCACCAACAAAACCACCAAAAGTTGGAGGGGGGGGTCCTCCTCCTCCTCCTTTTCCCCCCCAATTTATGGTGGTGGTGGTGGTGGTGGTGGTGGTGGTGGTGGTGGTGGAAAGCACGCCCATCACAGTTGTCTTAGGCCAAGTCCGCGAGGGCTCCAGTGGCTGCTTTGTCATGGTCTTCCTCCTCCTCTTCGCGTTTGTGCTCTGGGTCGCAACGGCTTCCAGGGAGCAACAGGGATTCTGAATGCCGCCGCTCTGTGGTCCCCAGTGCGTTCGGCGCATCGGCTGCCCGTGTCGTACACGTATATGAGATTATGCTTGTATGTAATATATGTATATAGATATACAACAGCAACAACCAGAGAAGAGCATCTACAACAAATGATATAAACTAACTACATGCAGATATTCACGAACACATCGCGTTGTCCTCTCGGGGCCGGAGTTCTTATTAATCGGATGCCCCCTTGCTGGTTCGCCACGGATATCTGGCCAACAGGATCATCCCCGCATGTGCCAGCCGCGCCGTGCCAGAGGAACGGCGGCGCAGTTTGTTGTTCTCCCTCCGCCCTCTTCCCCTTGTGCACGCCCTCTCCCTCCTATCCTCCTGATTCCCGACCTAGGCTCTGCCTAGAAGGGTTCTTATTCTCTGTGCTTAAAGGGGCTGGGCAGTGCACCCCGCCCCGGGCGGTTCCCCCAGGATCCGCCCCGCGGTTCCCCCAGTTACGTCCCCTTAGCTTAGCTTTGCTTATCTCATCGTAGCTTAGCCTAGCTTAACTTAGCTTAGCTTAGCTTAGCTTAGCCTAGCCTAGCTTTGCTTAGCTTAGCTTAGCTTAGCCTAGCCTAGCTCAGCTCAGCTTAGCTTAGCGCAGCGCAGCGCAGCATTCGCATAGCATAGCATAGCACACCATAGCACAGCATAGCATATCATTTCATAGCACAGTACATCATAACATAGCATAGCATATCATATCATAGCTTCGCATAGCACAGCGCAGCATAGTATACCATATCATAGCATTGTATAGCATAGCATATCATAGCATAACATGACATAGCACGGCATAGCGCAGCATAGCATAGCATAGCGTATCAAAGCATAGCATAGCATAACATATCATAGCGCAGCATAGCATAGCGCAGCATAGCGCAGTATAGCACAACATAACATAGCGCAGCATAGCAAATCATAGCATAGACTAGCATAGCATAGCGCAGCATAGCACATCATATCATAGCATAGCGCAGCATAGCATAGCATAGTATAGCATAGCGCAGCAGAGCATAGCATAGCATAGCCTAGCATACCACAGCGCAGCCTAGCGTACCCTAGCATAGCATAACACAGCACAGCGCAGCATAGCGCAGCAGAGCAAATCATAGCATAGCATAACATAGCGCAGCATAATAGCATAGCATAGCATAGCATAGCTTAGGTGTAAATGTAGGTGTATTTGTAGATGTAGATGTGAGTCTCGCTATTGATGTTGATGCAGATGTAGCTGCAGGTGTAGATGTTAATGTAGCTGTCGGTGTAGATGTAGATGTTACTTTCCTAGATGCTCCAACTCCTAGGTAGGGTCGCACTGGGATAATGTTTTAGCTTCGCCCTTCTCCTGCTCCTGCTCTTTCCCCGCCTCTTCTGGCTCTTCTCCCGGTCTCCTCTTGTCGATTGGCCATTCGCTTCCTTACTCGCCCGACAGGTCGTCATCGACGGGCGCCTCAAAGGCAAGGAGGTCGTGCTGCCAGAGGTCACGCGAAATTTCTACGTGGGCCGCCCAGCCTCCTTGTTTTCCCAGTCTTCCAACACGTCTTTCAAATGTAGCCAGTTACTCACAACGCTAATTGTTGACGCGTCGCGTATCCCCACCAGCTGTGCCCCGCCGTCCATCTTGGCCTCGCTTCCGTATGTGGTTCGGCTGGAGCTTGGCGCCGCAAGGGCGTTTTCTCCGCCCCGTCCCGCTGCCGGTCGCCGCGCCTTTGCTTCCCCACCTGCCGGGATGTCTGGGCCGGTCACCTGCCGACGCTGGTCTGCGTCTCAATCAGGGGCATTTTGCCCCTGGCATGTGCATACGCCACTGCGGCCAATTTACATCGTACCGCGTCCCGGACGTTGTGCCCGCTCCCTGTCCCTCGCCTTGGGGCCGCGAACCAAAAAGTATCCCCACCAGCTGGTTTTAGGCCGTTCTAATTAGGTCGTTGTTAGTCGGCAGTCTCCTGACGGCGGGCGGCTCCTTCGCTTGCGCTCGCGAGCAAAAAAGTATCCCCACCAGCCCATCAACGCACAAGAGGCTTAGCTGCCCAGAAGGGGGGATAGTGACATCACGCGGAGATATCGAGAGCCTGTGTGGGCCACAGGCTCTCCTGGTGCTACTCTTGAAGACCTCTTAGGGGCATATTGGAGCGTCCTGAGGGCCTTTTGCTGGCCCCTGAGGGACATCTTGGACCGTCTTCTGGCGTCATGGGGGCCTCTTTGGGCCCTCTTCAGGCCGTTTTGCGAGCTGTCGGGCCGTCTTTGGGCCACCTTGGAGGCGATCGATCAAAACGACGGATGGGCCCGCCGACAGCATTGCCCCCTCATTGGCCAGACTGGGCCCCGAACCAAAGGAGCACCAGTGATTGTTGCCTTCTCGCTGGGGCCACCTTGTACGCTCTAATTGGCCGCTGGGCCGTCCGCTGCGATGAGGCGGCCAGCGCCTGCCCCCGAGCCTTCGCCCTCCTCGAGACCCTCGCTTCGATCCGGTGCTGAGCTCCGGGCACGATCCTGGCCCGGGCGGGCTCGATGTTGCCCGCATCTCTGCAGCAGGCCGATCTCAACGCGGCGCCGTGCCTGAAGGCCATCGCCGTCCCTTGCCCGAAGCGGCCGTCATTCGTCACCAGGGTGGCGTGCCAGAGCTCCGCCGTGCACCAGTACTCCACAGCACGCCCCAGGAAGTCCTCCCACAAATGCCCAACGCACTCAATGTCCTGCGGTTGCTCCGCCGGCACGAGCTCCTCCAGGACGCACTTCGTAGGGGCCACATGTTCAAGCCACCACCATCTCCTTTTAATGCGCCCAGCGAGTCTCTCCCGATCCCTTGGGTCCAACAGCTCGTAGTTAGGCCCTTCTTCAAGTGCGAAGCCTCGCGCCAGGTGGAGGTCGACCAGTAACGTTGTCTGAGATCCGCTTGACCCCCGAGGGGAGCTTCAGGAAGCCTGTGCGCCCAGCTGGTGGTCCCAGTACCTCGTCGTCCTCCTCGCCCGCCGTCTCCACATTTTGCTCGATCTCCTCGAAGACGTCGTCGCACCTGACGGCCCGCGTCTGGCAGTCCTCCTTCATGACGTCCTGCTCTGCGCTCGATCGCCTTCACCTCCGTCTGCACCATCCCGTAGCCAGAGCTGGAAGCATTCGTCATGTAGGCTCGCGAGGCCCAGTCGGCCTCCAAGTTGCACGTGAAGTTGACCGAGAGGTTTGCCGAGGGCGTAAGCTAGGAGAGGACCGAGACACGCGAGCTGAAGACTTTCTTCCACCGCTCTGTCGCGTCCTCGTTGATCCACCGGTAGATGCTGTCCAAGATCGCGAAACCCAAGCGGCAAATCTTGAGCGCCCATGTCCACCTAGCCAGCAGAGAGGACAGGCATGCTGGAGTCACCGCCCCATGCACCACCAAGGCCTCTGTCGCCAGCACCAGCCCCCTCAGCTCCTCGGGGTGCACCTTGGCAGCGTGGGGTCGCCCCCGCACCGTGAGGCCCAAGGCCTTGCCAAGTCCAGGCCCCCAATCCTCCTTGCGCACCTGCGAACCTCGGGACTCCAATGTGACCTCGACTAGCTTCTTGTCCACCGCGATGCCCTCCATCTGCAGTCGCAGCATTAGTTTCATCTGGCACGGCTCGACTGATGGGGCAGGCCTTGCATGCGCCTGCTCGCCCGGGCCAGGAAGACGGTTCGCGAGTGCTTGATCATAGGGGCAATGGCCCGATCCCCGCGTCCTTCTTTGTCGGCTTTTGTCACCGTCCTCCCCCGCCTCATGCAGGGCTCGCTTCGACTCCTCCGATTCGATTCGACTTCGATGGCTATATATTCCGAGTCGATTCGACTTCTGAGTTTGATTTGGATTCCGATTTTTCATTGGAGGCCTACGAGCCTGCCGATTCCCGCCGATTCGACTTCATCCGACTCGGCTGCCAATTTTCGCCGATCCGATTCATCTCGATCGCCGATCCGACTTGTCGATTCGATTCTGGGGGCGACTGCCGCATGGCGTGCTCGCAGAGCTGCATGGGCGAGAGGTCCTCCAGCACGCATCCACTCCGCCAGCTTCCCGTTTCACCGCCGCCTGCAGAGAACCACATTGGGATGTCGCCCGCGAGCGAGATAAGCCCCTTGCACCCTTGAGACCTCAGGCGGCAAATCCCACGAGCTCAGGTTGCTCGGCGTCTCTGTAGCCCCACTCGCGGAGGCCTCGAGACTCTGAGGTCTAGACGCCAGCAGTCCCAGACCAGGCGCGAGGCCTTTACGGTCCCCGAGCCGCCCTCCTCCAGGAGTTTCACCACCGCGAAGATGCCGACCATCTCCTTGGCCTCCGTCGCGTGCCTGGGCATGCCCGACTCCCGCATCCGCACTCCCAGCGCCAAACGGTGTTCGGGAGTCCTCCATCCAGGGTCATTGTAGCTCCGCCGCGTCTGCTGGTATCTGCCCCAGTCGATCTCGTCGTCCGCCCACAGCATGTGATCTTTTTCGTTCCCCACATATGGTGACGCCGTCTCACATCGAGCCGATACGTCCGTCCCGGACTTGGCCACTGAGACCTTCTCCACGATCATGTCGTACAGGTCGCCCTTCTTGAGAGCGCCGGCTCCCCACCTCACTCTCTCCGAAGCACCGTTGCCGTCTCAAGTCATCTGCCCCTTTCCCAGATTGCTGAGACACGCCCTGCCATCATTGATGCTGCCCATGCTGGCGCGCTCCGCCAGCCGATCCCAGTGCTTGTTGAGAATCATCCTCTGTGTCGGGGCAGCCTTCTCTCACGATCGCCTCGGCACCCGCTTCCCTGCCTCGTCGAGCGCCTTGATGTGGCCGCTCGCCAGGCAGCGGATAGGAGCGACCGCCCTCGAAAACTTTCTCCACGTAGCCCCCTGCTCCTCCTGAGACAAGTGAAACATCTGGACGCCATAGTCCCGATGAAACATGGCCTCGAACTGGCACGGCTGGAGGTTCCCGACGAGCGCTGATAACCCGCTGCTGCAAAGCACCGAGCCACACACTGAACGGTGATATTTCCACCCATTCGCAGTCGCCCGACTCCTCGCGAACCCTTGATAAACAGAGCCACTTGGACTAGCGCACATAGCGACAGCTGGGCAACATTCGAAGAAGGACACTGCGCTATGAACATACACTTTCGGAGCTCCGCGCGGATGTCTTGGATCTGCGTTGCCCCCTTGGCGGCGCCTCCAGCGCCGCCAGTGGCGCGCTCCGCGCGCCAGGGAGGAGGGCCCAGCACGGATCCGAGAAATCCGCGCGGACTTCTAAAAGTTTCGCGAGTATTTCGTTGGAGACGCTCCGCCGCATCGTCATCTGCGGCCAGCACGTCGGTGCTGCCCTGCAAGTGGAGGTCCAGGTGCTGCTCGGCGTAAATCCTGTGCACCCTGCTCTTCAATATGGATCCTTTCTAGGTCTTGTGACGGAGCCAGTCGGCTTCCTCCTCGACAGTCTCGTATGTCTTGCAGACTGAATGTGGCCTTCGGCACGTGAGCTCGCCCGCCTGTGAGTTGATCAGCGGATTGTGCCCGCCACAGGTTATCATGTCTAAGACGGTTCCCAGCATGAACACATCCGAAGCCATCGACCACCTCGTCAGTTCCTTGCTCCTCAGCCGATCTTTTCAGCTCAGCGTGAGCACCGCCGCGGATGTAGGACGGCGCGCGAGCTCCGATGGCGCGCCCCAAATCTTGATTCGACCCGCTCGAGCGCATCCCACCGCACGATATGCCTGCAACATGGCCAGCATACCCTCTTTTGGGTCACGGGCCTCGACCTCCATCCTGCACATCCGATCCGCTCCGCCGGGCGGCGACACCTTCTCCCAGCTGGTCGGCATAGTACCTCCCTTCGTTCCCGATGATACCTTCGCAAATCGTGGCCCGAGGCAGAGCGCGGCCAAGGGACGCATTGGGATAGGAGGAGGCGCCATGAAGCCAGTGTGTGTACTGATGGGTTTATTTTCCACCACCACCACAACCACAAGTAGGAGGAGGAGGGGATCCTCCTCCTCCTCCTCCACCTCCTCCTCCTCCTCCTCCTCCTCCGCCTCCCCCTCCTCCTCCTCCTCGTCCTCCTCATCCTCCTCCTCCTCCTCCATCTCCTTCCCTCCTCCAACTTATGGTGGTGGTGGCGTAAAACAGGCCCATCAGGTACCACGGCCCCCACTGTGAGATCCACCATTCTTTGGCCGCTCCCGATGGAGGCCTTCTTCGGGGCTCTACTGACCCGGGCCAGTGCCAGCCCCGGCGAGTCAGGCTTTGCAGAATCCAGCTTGTGCTCCTCCTCGCCGTCGCTGCCGAAGGCGAGCGTCTTCCGCGGGCAGTGGCCTCGTCGCTGCTCCCGGGCGGCCGATCCCGGACGAGGCCGGCCGGGGACACAACCGAGGCCTGAAGCAGATGTTGAAGGGGGAGGGGGAGAGGGAGGGGGAGGAAAGAGGAGGGGAGGGGGAGGGGAGGGCGAGGAGGAGGGGGAGGAGGAGGGGGATGAGGGGGGAGGAGGAGGAGGAGGAGGAGGAGGAGGAGGAGGAGGAGGAGGACGAGGAGGGGGAGGGGGAGGAGGAAGAGGAGGAGGAGGAGAAGGAGGAGGGGGAGGGGGAGGGGGGGAGGGGGAGGAGGGAGGAGGAGGAGGAGCGAGGAGGAGGAGGAGGAGGAGGAGGAGGAGAGGAGGAGGAGGAGGAGACGGAGGAGGAGACGGAGGAGGGGGGAGGGGGAGGGGGAGGAGGGGGAGGAGGAGGAGGAGGAGGAGGAGGAGGAGGAGGAGGAGGAGGAGGAGGAGGAGGAGACGAGGAGGAGGAGGAGGAGGAGGAGGAGGAGGAGGAGGAGGACAGGAGGAGGAGGATAGGAGGAGGGAGGAGGATGGCAGGAAGAGGAGGAGGAGGGGAGGAGGAGGAGGAGGAGGAGGAGGAGGAGGAGGAGGAGCAGCAGCAGCGTAAACCCAAGACCATCACAGCGATGGTTGGAATGAGCCCTCCCTCCGAGCTCCGCGAACGGATGTCGCGGAACCGGGTTCGCCGTCCGAGTCCGCCACCGACGTGCCTCCGACGAAGTCACCCGTTGGCGGCCGCGCCGTCCGCGCGTCGCTGTCGGACCCCTGGGGCGCGGCGCGGGGAGGGGCAACAACAATGATGCTCTTCATTCCGCCGCTCTCGCACATCTTCTCCGCCGCTCTCCATAGGGGAACGAATACTGACGTATCATAATAACTCGGAGGTGGGGGGGTCCCCGACGACGAATCGGGGAAGGGGGGGAGGGGGTGGGGGTCCCCGACGACGGATCGAGGAAGGGGGGGGGGGTCCCAATCCCCCCCCCCCCCTGGGGGAGATCCAGCGGAGCACCCTCAAAGGTATCGAGAAAGACAGAGACAGAGAGAGAGAGAGAGAGACGACACAACGAGGGGATACGACCAGTGTGAAAACACGTTTTTTTGCAAAACATGCATCCGCAGTCATGGGTCTTGGGGAGGAGGAGGACAGGAGGAGGATGGCAGGAAGAGGAGGAGCAGGAGGAGGAGCAGGAGGAGGAGGAGCAGGAGACTGAGGACGAGGATGAGGAGGAGGAGAAGGAGGAGGAGGGAGGGCGGAGGGGAATAGCTTCTGGAGAGAGATACGCCCCCTCCCTCCCCCGACCCTCTTGGCACAGGTGCGCTCGGTTTCGCCATCGGGGGCCTATCGCCGATCTATCGGCGATCATCCTTGACTCCAGGTCGGTGCTTCCCCCTGAGCCGGTCCTCCCTTGCCGTTGCCCCTCCAGGATGGACCAGGGGCTTCTTTTCCAAGGCCAGAGATGTGCCAGCCCGTCTGCAGGCTGTGTGGGCAAGGCAGGGCCTTGATTGAGCCCTCTCTCCCCATATTCGCACACCCACAGGGGCTCAGCCGAGCACGTCCCAGGTGGCCGTTGCTCCTCCCCTGAGATCCGACGTTGCGAAAAACTGCAGCATCGTAACACATCACGACCGTAGCTCCGGACCCCATCTTTCTGCGTCGTTTTTCCAGCCGGGTCGACCTGTGAGGGTCCCAGGTCCGAAGCCAAGGGCGCCCTCGAAGGCGCGAAGTCTTCCGCGCTTCGCGGCTCGGTTCTGATTCCTCATCGTCCTCCTCTCCTCCCCTGAGGGGCGGCGCGAGAGCGCGAAGTCAGTCGCGCTTCGCGCCGCGCGCAGGGCGAAGTTGGGCGCCCCTGGCAGCGGGGCGGAGACGCCAGCTGTGACAAACACTGCAGCGCCAGGATCCCAGGCTGCCCTCGGCACCGCCCGTCTTTCCCGCCGATGCTCGAGGTGATCCCCAGTGGCGCGAAGATGACCGCGCTTTGCGCGTCGCGGTCCAGGCCAGAGCAGCTGCCCTTCCCCAGGGAGCGGCCAGAGGGCCCGATGCCGCCATGAAGATCGCGCGAATCGCGAAGCGCGGGCCGCGATGCGCGAGTGCGTCCCATATGGCCCGGTCGAGTCATCCGGGGCTCCTTCGAGCACGCCCCCAGATCCGGAGGGTTCCAAAGGGGGTTTTTGGGTAGAGGGTTTTCCAGAGAGCCCCCCATGGGGCCCCGGAACCTCGTCCGAACAGGGGGTGCGAAGTCCCTGGGGGGACCCCGCCTCTGGAAAACCGCCTCCCCATGGAGCCCCCCCCCTTTGGAGCCCTCTGGCAGATGGCCGCTGCCCCTCGAGGGGGGGTGCTCCGCGCGCCGAGGTGGACGGCTTCGTGCCGCAGCCCCACTGACCGCCTTCCCCGCGCGGGCGCGGCGCGTGCCGCACCCTCTCTGCGGGGCGCGCGCCTTCCCGCGCGCGGCTGCCCAGCGCCCGCGCCGCAGCGGCGCGCCGCCCCTCGGGCTCGGGAGCTGCGCGGGGCTCCCCTCGCTCCCCGCCTCCGCTCTCTCGCGCGAGGCGTGTTCGCCCGCTTGCGGGTCGGGACCCAGAGGGAGGAGGAGGAGGAGGAGGAGGAGGAGGAGGAGGAGGAGGAGGAGGAGGAGGAGGAGGAGGAGGTGGAGGAGGAGGAGGAGGAGGAGGAGGAGGAGGAGAAAACGAATAATGATGAGGAGGAGGAGGAGGAGGAGGAGGAGGAGGAGGAGGAGCAGGGGTCAATGCAGATGGGGGTCGGGCAGGGCGCTGGACCTTACAGGGTCTTGCAGAGCCAGGGCTTGTCCTCCTCCCCCGCCCTCTCCGGCCACCGCCCTCCCTTCTTCCCTCCCAGCTGCTGATGCTTCTCCTTCCTCGTCCCCCTCCCCTCCCCTCGTCCCCTCTCCCACTCCTGCTTCTCTTGCTTATGTAGCTACCCTTAGTTCGGGCATGTCCTTCTACAGGTGGATTTTGGACGAAGAATACAGAAAAAGTCAAAACATGTGCAACAACATTCAAAACAAGTGAATCGATCGTCACAAGACTATTGTTTGCCTATTTGTTGATATTCCTCCTGTAGAGGGACATGCCTGACTTAATTAAGGCTACACGTCTGTGCCGTTCTGCTGCGCAGCTGGCAAGATGGCCGGGTGACACCGCCGTGTCGAGATGCAGCTTCCGGCGAGATTTGTGAGCGAGCGAAGTGGCGGTACCGACTGGGTGGTGGTGCCCGCACGGTACACCGAAGCAAGTTCCTGACAAGTCCCTGGGACAGAATGTCGAGCATTGGCGAATGGCTTGCCTATAGGCCCACCAAATAATGCTATGCTATCCTTTTGTGGTCAACGCGACATGATTCTAGAACAGTTAAGGCTGATACTGGCTTGTTGTAGCAGATCCGATTTATGTTTCAACGACACGGTGCTTTTTGCCACCCAGCACATTTGTTGGCTCCAAGCACATGTCGTGGTAGGCTTACGGTCGGTCCCTGCTCAAGAATGGGTTGGACGGTGGGCGGGGGCAGAGGCGGCAACACATGTAGGCGACGGGCGGGCATCGAGCCTCGAGAGAACGGCGGTGCGAGGGCGTGAAGGTGGCTGCAACTCAAGCAGCTTCAGGAGGCAATCGAGGAGGACCAGACGAACTTGGCCACCCTTCGTCAACAACAGGCTACACTTGAAGGCCAGCGAACGCAACTTGCTGCTACTGCTCTTCGGCCGCCCGCTCAGGCGGCAGATGGTGCTACAGTATCGGTACAGCGCGCCCTCTTCAAGCTGGATACCTTGGAAGCTGTTCTCAAAAAGCATGGTGTGGAAGGTGAATTGTTGTCGAAGATTGTTCAAGAGGAGGACCTGGCGAAGCTTGTCCAACCCGAAGTGGCAGAACCCGCAGGTAACCTCCTACCTCGGCCAGCGGTTGCGGCGGCAGCGGCGTCAGCAGACATGGCGGTGGAACCAGAGGAACCAGCAGCTGCCCTTCCTAGTCTACGTGAGGCCGATGAAGAGGCCCTTCGCAATATCTTTGTCGAGTCGGGGGTTGTCGACTCCGAGGCAGTTGCGAAGTTGGATCTCGGCAAACTACGGGCTGCAGCTAACCACATGCACAAACGCGTATCACGCTACAGCCCATATGAGTGATTGGGTATGGCTGCATGGAGTTGGATATTGGCAATCATTCTTTGATATCACCATGACGTGTACAATTCATGATGGACAACAACAGGTGGACATTCTTGGCGATTACTGGCAGTTATACGTGGTATCACGAGAAGAGCTGAGCGGAGCCACGTTGAGACTGGCCACACTATTTACGGCAGCAGATTGTTCTCTGGGCTTGCAGCCAGGCGTGGAGGTGGCAATATCAGGTTCCGCTTTTGCTGCTCCCAAGGCGACGGAACCCCCGTCTTCAGAGGCCCAGGACTTCAGAGAATCCAGGGACCTGGGTTGGCCTGCTCGGCCTAACGGCCACCGCGCGGCCTGCTCCCAGGGGGACTTGCCTCGTCGCCAAACAGGGGAAGGAAACTGGAACAGAACGCGGCGGATCAAGGCTCAGGCTGAGCCACCTTCTGCTATGGGTCTTCCACCTCCTGAAGTTTTCGACCGCGTTCGTGAACAACGGGCGCAGGCTACGGACGATTACGTCACTATGCGCCAGGACCTGCAGTCTTGGGCAGCTATGTGGATGGGCGACTTGGTGTTCGGTCCGCGGGGCGACAACAACTGGAGGCGGTGGTGTGAACCTTTCTTAGATGAGATGTTTCGGCGAGGTGGCAATCATGAGCTACGGGCTGCTCTCTTGCGTTGGTTCCCACACCGTACACTCTCTCAGATCATTGAGGAGCTATGTGCCAGAGCCTGGAGGCAGGCAGCACCTCGTCGCACGGCCTTCTCGCAGCGGCTGGCAGATATGCCACCTATGGATAGGTGCGAGCTCGAGATGCGACACTGGCGTGAACTTGCTGAACTTCGGGCCATGATGAGGAGATTGTTGCAAACACGGGCGCCTAACTATCATCCTGTCCCCCGCCGCCCTAACCGCGATGATGATCAGGCTGTTGATGATCTGGAAGAGGGCGAGCATGGTCAAGATCAAGCCAGCCTTCCTGAACCAGTTCGACCGCTACATCGCGACACCCGTGACGGGTACGAGGGGCTGCGGGTGCAAGGGTGGCTTACCACGGTTAATGTCACGGGCGCTGGCTCACGTATTGATTACTTGTCTCAAAAACCTGATGGCAAAGTTTTCGCGGTGCAGGAGCACCTGGCCCATGGCGATCGGCTGCTGTCCGTGCAAAGACAAGCTCGAGACCTAGGCTACCATGGATGTTGGTCGTCAGCCTCGGTCACAGAAGCAGGCGGCACGAGAGCTGGGGCATCGGTGTTGGCGACGACTGGCATCGCTGTGACTGAAGCTCCCTTTCGCGCGCAGGTGGATCTATCCGAGGATAGGTTCGACGCGGCGCACCTGCATTGGGGAGTGCCAAAAGGCATCGCCGTGATGAGCGTGTACTTATACGACGACCAGGGCCTCGACGCTGACAACATGGCCATCATTTCAGGTATTCTGAAGTACGTTGGACTGCTCAACTTCTTGGGCATGGACTGGATTGTTCTTTGTGGTTGGAACTTACAACCTGAGGTCTGGGCTGATGAATGGCTGGAACAGGTGCATGGTTTTCTTCTTTTCTCCGAGACTTCTACTTGTCATAAGAGCATGTTGGGCACGGTTTTTGACTGCGCGCTGGTGGCCAACAACCTTAACACGCGCATGCAGAAGCCAGAGGTGGTGCATGACTCTGCAATAGCTACACACTCGCCTGTGCGATATTCGTCGTTGGCACATGATATTCCGACGTGGCGAAGGGTAATGGACGAGCCGCGGGGGTTCGGATCGGTTCCTCCTATTGGTTGTTCGTACTACCCTCGGCGTGGTGCTTGGCGTCAGGCACGATTGGCGGTCTTGGGCGCGCATGGCAACGCGTCGCTGCAGGTGGCCTGGGACGAGGTGGCACGGCAGCTCGAACAAGACTTGGCAGACAGGTGGCAGCTTCGAGGTGCCAATCATCGCAAACATCTTGGACGGGATGGTGATGTCTCATGGAAGTGGGAAAAGGTGTCGTGGCAGCCGCCACGAAAACGTACTTATGTTTCTCAAGAGGTGAACTGTTGGCAGGTAGCAGAGCGGTGGGCATCTCACCTTGTGCGAGTACGTGTCCATCTTGGAGAGCACTGTCAGCGTCTCCAGGGTGCCCGCGCTATGTGCCCAGTTTCTTCGCAGCAATGCGGGCATGTGGTTAAGATCGCCAAGGAAGCTGCGATTTTCTTAAGCAAAATTGCTCAGGCTACGCGGGCCCTTGCTGGGCTTACCGATGTGGTTAGAACATTCTTCACTTCAGGTATCGCGGTCTTCTTGCATGACGACTTCGACGGCATGGTCCAGTACATTGCCCAGCAGGCGTCCACCTTTACAAAGCAGGCCGTCACCGACAAGTACAAGGCATGGAGAAATTGGGCAGATCGTTCCTTTCTTCGTGGTGCTAGTGCTGCACATCGGTTTACCAAGGTACAGCAGGCGCCTGAGAAGTTGAAGCCGATGGTGTATGGAAGCCCCCACGCACTCGCAGATAGGGAGATGGTCACGTGGCGCGAGGTTTGGCAACATCACGGTTATGATCTACTCGACAGGCCTGCTGATTTTTCTTCGTGGCCCAAACTGCCAGCCATCAGTGTTCCTGAACTGCGAGCGGCTTCTCTTTCCTTTCCTGAGCGCACGGCAGTGGGACAAACGGGGATCGCGCCTAGAGCGCTATGGCACGTGTCGGATGAGGGCCTGGCGGTGATCAACTTGTTGTTTTCGCGCTGTGAAGATCTTGGCTGGTGGCCTGGGGATCGCATTGTGAATATTCTTGTTCGGTTGGCAAAACCTGACGGTGGTAGTCGCCTTATATGCCTGGTCAACACCCTACTACGGCTATGGGCACGGGTCCGATCTTCGGTGGCCAAGCGTTGGATTCGGAACGCCAAGATTCCCAACATTTGGGGTGCAGGTGGCGCTGGGAGGTCCTCGACAGCTTCTGCGGTGGATCACAATATCACAGCGGAAATGGGGCCTTCTACCTGGGCGAGTTTTCTGTGACAGCTCTTCTTGACGCATAGAAAGCATTCGAGTCGGCCTCGCCGTCCGCCTTGTTGGATCAGTCTCGGCTGGAAGGTTTTCCTGTCTTGCTTACGTGGATGACGCTGCAGTGCCATCTACAACCCAGAACGCTCAAATGTCATGGGTCTCTCTCTGTATGGTACAGATCTGCGCAGGGTATCTTAGCAGGATGCAGTATGTCCACAACTATGCTAACGGTACTCACAGCGAAGGCCATTCGACGACTTGCTAGAGATGATATCGTACCACGAGCATTGGTGGATGACGTGTCAGCACAGTGGGGTGGCAGTTCAATGCAGCAGCTCAGTGGCTTCTGGGCGGCGCTGAAGGGTTTCATCATGGATGTCAAGGAGGTAGGGCTCATTATTCAGGCCAGCAAGTCAGGTTTTGTCGCCACGTCGGCCGCGGTTATCAAG